AGAAGACAAAGAGAGTACTGAAATAATATAAAGTATGAGTTAGCAAAAATTATCAAATTTTTAACAAGTTTTCCTTAGGTTTAATACAACAGAATACATTTCAAATATATTTTAGTCAATTGTCAGGAATTATTAATAGAGCAATATTGAATATACCCCCAGGGCCTATTATCTCGGAACAAAATCCTCATTCAGAAGGGTTACTTATGGGTCTTATGATAGTCGCAAATTCAGCGCTAGTGAGTCGATGAAAAAATATTGTCAAACGTTTTATTTTTGTTGCTAAGAAACGTCAGTGATATTTTTGTGTCAGTTGACAAAATATGTTTCTTCTATTCGTTTGTGTTTGTACACTTGTTAATAAAGATTTCATTATAAATTAATTGCTCTCAAATACATGTCAAATTCAGATACAAGTATAAGCTTCTACAAGAAAGACAAAATATCTGGAATACTTCCAGCTGCTCGAAATAGGATTACCATTATACATGGATTTGAATATACATGGAAGAAAATAAATTGCTTAAGAATGTCAAACTTTGACGAGTTGATTATTGGTTAATAAGAGATAAGAATAACAGACGATTTAATGAACTAAATATTTATATTAATAAGTTAAAAAGTGTAGAAATTATTCCAGTAGATTAGGTTTAATGTATATTTAGATTGGCAGTGTGTTTGTTGATTATATATTTCAATTTGATTGTATATTTATTATAATATAATATTATCTAGTATATTTTTGTTATTATTATATTATTACAAAACATAATACGAGTCTATAAGTTTCAAATACCCAATTAATAAAATTCAATAATTTACATTTCAAATTTTGCGCCCTCATGTCTGATTGGAGGACCCTTTAAGTATTCCTTTTGAATGTAAAAATCGGGAGAGAGAAACGTCTATATGAATACATCAGTTTCTAATATTGTCTAGGTACACCTCTATCAATAATTCAATATTTTATCAATAATGGTGCCACTAATACATTAATAAATGATTTGTGGTTTGTGGCAAGAATGCTAAATATTCTTTAAAAAATGCTCCAACTTACAAAACATATATAATGATACTTACAAATTTCAAGAGACAAGTATTTTCTCTTAAAGCTCCAACACAGCCAGCAAAGCTCACTATGAAAACTACACCACCAGCAATCACCATCACCAATGATATATTGAGCACAACATCATAAACGGTCTCAACTTTAACCCATCCGGTAGCTTGCCATTTATCCACAAAGGCATATAAGCCAACTCCTATTAGAAGGCCACCAAACAGCTAAAAGTTGAAATCAATACATTTCAGAGAATTCATTTCACCAATAAGAAATTACCAAATTTCACTAATAATTACCCAAAATATGAAATTTAACTGAAATATCATGTATTTCACACACGAACTAACGTATGTAAAATTATTTGTTCTTCTCCTGTTCATTGTGGATGGATTTAAGTGATTTTTTTATAAATTATTGAGCTGGAACAATTTGCAGAATATGCCACACCTTATACGATGCACGATATCTTCGATTAAAACATGTCTTATAGACAATTAAAATTCTTTGATCCAGTTATTAGAATAAGAAGGGAAAGATGAAATTCAAATCATGGGAATATACTACAATTAAAATTTTCACTGATTGTTAGAAATGTCATATTGTGCACAAGAATATGTGTCAAAACAATGACCCCATTTCTGTCAGATGCATCACAGTTCACTTTAATCAAAACACAAAGATAAGGAACTAGATTTTTAATACATCTTTCAAAATTTAGATGGCAACCTTCAGGAACTTTTTACCCACCGCATCTATGTCAAAGAGATACTACTTGACATTTTGCGAAGATGTTATTTATAAATTGGTTAAAATATAAAAGCCTAGAAACGGAAATAGAATAGTATCTAATCGGCATAATTCTGTTGAGGCTTAAGTTTAGTTTGATTTGAATAACACGATTATTGTAATCATTTAAACATTTTTTGTTTATTGCATTTTTACCCTTGATCAAACGTACGTGCAGATTCTTATATTCATTATGGTGACCGGGGTGAACTAAGCGCGTGCGAAAATTTATTGAAATTGTTCAGTGCACTACTTAGTAAGACAGAATTGATTTCAAAGACCAATTATACAGATAATTTTAAATATCAGGTACAAATAATAATAAATATCATTAATATAGTTGCATGAATATTTGAATGATGTATTAGAATATAATTTTTCTATCATCTAAATATTACAAATATCTTATTACTTTTTAGAAAAATGGTGGCATTTATTCAGTCTGTGGAAGAATTTGAAAAATGTTTGAGTGAGCAAGTTTCTGTGGTGTTATTTAGCGATGACTTTGCTGAGCAATGCAAAGTTATTAAAGAAGGATTAGTCGAATTATCCAAAAGAAAAGAACTGTCGAATGTGAAGTTCTTTGAACTACATGCAGAATCATTAGCAAAAATATCTTTGCAATATAAAGTAGATGCTGTACCTACCACATTAATCTTCAAAAATAAACAACAAATTGACCGAGTCGATGGTGCAAATATTGCTGAGGTTAGCACAAAGGTACTTAAGCATGGAAGTTCATTGGGGACAGGAGGAGGTGGTGAAGATGTTGAGAAAAGGCTTAAATCATTAATAAACCAACATAAAGTAATGGTGTTTATGAAAGGCGATAGGACCACACCAAGATGTGGTTTTAGCAAAACTCTAATTGGAATAATGAATGATTCAGGAGTGGAATATGGAACTTTTGATATATTAACTGATGAAGTTGTTAGACAGGAACTGAAGACTTTCTCAGACTGGCCTACATATCCTCAACTTTATGTCAATGGGGAACTTATTGGGGGCTTAGATATTGTGAAAGAGCTGGTTCAGAACAATGAATTCAAAGATGTTTTGAAAGGATAAAGCAGAATTTATAGTTATTGTTTTCTCTAGATGTACATTATACCATTTTTTTAAATAAAACAAATTCAAAAGAATGCTTGATTTTGTGTTATTGCATTTATTTACAGATGTATTTTAACTGTTATTTATAATTAAAACTTAAACATATTTCATAAACCACTTCCGATCAAAAGGTGATATCCACCTATGGCAGCCTGCCAAATTGTTTTTAATTATGTATTCTAATGTATAGGGGTTAATGTTTTCTTCTTCTATACGTTTTTCTTTCTGCTTCTCGAGCTTCAAGTATCTCTTGAGAAACAACCATGGCTTTGAATGGTAATTTCTGACAAATTTCTGTTAAGAAACGCTTAACCTATAAGCAAATAAATATTTCTATAGTTTTTTTTCATTTTATTATGGATTTATATGAAAAAATCAGAGCAACCATAATTAAAATAATGATCAATTACTCTACAAAGATGCAAGAAAGAAAAAACAATGGAGATTATAATTCTTAAATAAAAGAGTAATATAATAATGTAATTTTTAACAAATTCTAAATTAATTATACTTCCTACCTCTTCAAATTCACAATGTCCAGCCACTTCAAGAATAATTCTTCCGTGTTTAATTGGTGTCACATAGTGATCTATTGCACCTTTTCCACCACCCATTCTTTGACCTTGTCCTTTTTTAGTTACAGGTTGCCAAGGAGGGTCTACTCTCCAAATAGCAAACATTCTGTCAACATCAATTCTTCTTCCTATGCCTAACCTCATCATTTCCATATGTCCCGCCCGTAAGCGACCTCCGCTCAATGCCTAATTTAATTCCAGTTTCAGAGGGTAAAAAAACATTGGTATTATTTTTTCTCAAATTAATATTGCTTACCATAATTCCATATTGTTTATGTATAAGAGTATTATGAATTAATTCAGGTCCACGCATCAAACGTAATCGTTTTTGCATTTTCGGTGGTCGTAGACCTGGAGCATATTGAGGAACCTTTTCCAAGAACTTTAGTTTTGGCTTCTCAGGTAGTTGAATATCTGTAACATAATTAATTTAGTAATTTCGATTACAAATTTTTTGGTCACATGAAAAGCTTAACTCACGATCATATTTCACTGGGGGAGCAAAGTATTTTAATCCTGCTATTGAATTAAAATTGGGCAAATAACCTAAAAACATTAATAGGAATTATTGTTTCATTCAATGTAGAAAAGAGTTAGATCATGCAATATTTACCAATTTTAGATAAGGTTGACTTAAGCATTTTTCTAACTTTATAATATTAATAAATTAAGTAATTAAATACACATATTCTTAAAAAAGTTTGTAAGATTTTGTTAAAAACATACAATGTACAATGATCTGTCATATAATGTCATAACCTTAACCTGTCGATCAAGTTAAAAGAAAAAGAAGCGTATTCATAGACCTTATATTACATGGACTGCTAGTCGAGCGCATACAAAATAGCCAATAGTGTGTGTGTGTGTTTTGTGTGTCCCCATTTTTTCGTCCACGTTTTCGGGCGCACGGATCAACCAATTTGAATGGTTCAAAAAACATTTGATTCCTATTGATAGGGAGGTGTGCTGATTAGTTTTTGGCAAAGGCAGGTCCAGCCGTTACGGAGATACGGAGCAAAGAGTGCCGAAAATGGAAATTGAGTACCTCAAATTGAGTAGTTTGGGAGAACGGAGTATCCGATTCGAATGATCCAAAAAACATTAAATTTATAATTAATTGCTTGAAGTGATCTTAATCCTAGACAATATTAGAATACGTTGTGGTCTTAGTTTTTTGGCAAAGGCAGGTCCAGTCGTTTTGGAGATACCGAGCTAATTGTGCAAAAATGGCAGTTTTTGAGAGAGCTAAGCATCCGATTTGAATGATTCAAAAAACTTTCTGCTTTTTTTGACAAAATAATTGCTTTTAGAGAAAAAAAATGCAAATAATAAAAATTCAAATTTTTTTTTCGATTTTTTTTAAACATTTTTTTTGTATATCGAAAATAATTCAGATTTTAATTTTAATTCTGGCTAAAGTTCTAAAACTCACTTATATACTTTAAATATATAATTTTAACTTTGTAACTCAGTTTATATAATTTCTTATAAATATTAGGTAATGTTATAATATTTATAATAATCTATTTGAAAACATTTAGATCCCTCGAACATTTCGTTACGGTACGGAAAGTTTCAGCAATTTGCCTTGAGGAACGATGCCATACACAACCAGTTTCTTTCTAATTTCCCATAATAGCTCTTGTCAACTGTTCTTATTTTTTAGTGAATTTTACAACATATAAAATATTTTTTTCTAATTTCCCTTAAACACATTGTATAACTTAAATAAATAAATTGCCAATTCATTACATTCATTAGTTCAACATAAATTGTATACTATATAATATTTTCCTAACAATTTCAAACACACGGACCTTCATTTCATGTTTAAGGGATAGAGACCATTTATTAACTTTCCGTAGGGGAAGTTATAGTAATCGCAATAAAATCAAAAACGCTAATTTTTATCTATCTTTACGTTTCAAAGGTTTATGAACATTTTGGCATACCTTAGAAAAAATGGATGTATGTGTGTGTGTGTGTGCGGATACAATTTTTCGTCAACGATTTCGGGTACAAGGTTTAATCGATTTCAATTATTCAAAAAACATTCGATTTCTATTAATAAGGAGACGTGCTGATTAGTTTTTGGCACAGGCAGATCTAGCCGTTTCAAAGATACGGGGCAAAAAGTGCCAAAAACCGTAACACAGTTTTTAGGAGAACGGAGCGTCCGCTTTCAATCATTCAAAAACATTTTACTTGTATTGACAAGATGAAGAACTGATTAAATTTTTTGGGAAAGTAGGTCTAGCGGTTTCGGAAATCTAGTAAAAAAAGTAAAAAAAAATGGCATTTTTAGGTGAAAAATGATCATTAGACATATCTACATCAAATTATCAGATATTTTATGAAGATTTTAATAATGTGTAACAATTTTGTTTACATTTCTATGGGTTTCGTAACATTATTTGTCCGTTAAACAGCGACGCGGCGCTTACGCGCTTCTATATTACTTCTCTATGCTGCTATAGCCGTACGATTGCTTTGAAAAAAAGTTCATAATTTCCGAAATATTTCCAAAAAGTTTTTTTTCCAAAAAAGTAATTTTTTTTTCAAGCATTTGAAATTTCTCTTTTTATTTTTTCAAAGTTTTAAACATATTTATTCTTTTTTTTTTAAATTTAATTTTTGGTACGGATAGTTCCAGCAATTTGCCTGAAGGCACTTTCTCGGGGCACATTTACCCTCGCGACAGAGAACATCTTTTGACATTTTTTTACTTGAGAAATATATGGGGACTAGCAGTCCATGTCATATAAGGTCTATGAGCGAATTGCATCCCGTGGAATCTGATCTGACATTCATTTCACCACGTTGATCTGTTTGGTTATGTTTTTACTTGAAGACGAAACAATGTAGTTAATAAATTGTTCATTAAATATTATTATAATTTATTTAATTATTTGTTCAGAATAAAAATGGATGCCTATAAACATAAAATTTTAAGTGCCTTCAAAATTTTAGATATTTATGGATGGATGGTTAATTCGTATGTTTTGGTTCGTTACAGTTAACTTTATATTGTACTTATATCTTTGGGCAAAATGTAATCTAAAGTGATATTTTTGATTGTTTTGTGTATTTTTAATTCTACTAAAAAAATATTAAATATGCAATTATTTACATACAGGGGCGTAACTACCGCCGTATCAGCCTTATCAACTATATGGGGCCCCCGGATCAGGGAGGCAGCCAACGAGCGAAAGCAAGAATGGATAAAAACTTTAAAGCCATATAACGATTTTCAGAAAATTTGTTTTAAATAATTCCGGCATAGTTAGCATTTCTTTTTGTTATTGAAAGGTATTGAATTTTATTTTAATTTCTGTATTTAAAACAAAAGATCGCTGTTTGCAACTTTTAAGTCTAACGCTTTAGAGAATTTATATTCTGCGCAATATTTAAAGCTGATTTTTATATTTATGAACTTTGTATTTACTTATCGAAAACAAAAGAATACATGTTTCAAACTTAGTTGATAATAAAGCCTATAAGAAAGGCTATTATTAATTACTGTGGCTGCTTTTACAGCCATAAGGCATTTTAATAAGTTGATATTATTGTGAATTGTAATATGAGCAAATCTATAAAACTAATCCGGTTTAATATTTTCCATCAAAAATTTATAAAATTTTTGTATGATTGGTAAATTTTATAGTTACATTTAGATAAATATGATAAATTAAGTCATTTTTATCTGGCTCGCCAAAACAATCATGCATAGTTTGCAAATCTATTGTTGGTCCCAATTATTATTTGTATTTTATTACTGTTTTTATTTTTATAAGTAACTAAACAAATATTACCAAACCTTTTGGTATTATACGGCTAGCATGTTCAAAAAGGTCAACAGGACAAGCTTTTTTTTGTTTCAAATCAAGAGCTAATAAATGCTTCTGGAAAACTGTACACTAAATACTGTGAAGATATCCCAGGTAATCTTCATCACCAACGTGTTTAAAATTATAAATTAAAAAAAAAAATCAATTCAGTAACTCCTTTTTCCTAACGTAAAAACAGTATGGATTTTATTCTTCAGCCTTCCAGTTACAATCGCAACAGCTAAAATAAATTTTTCGAAATTAAAACTAAAACTAAACTAAAATTACCTGAGAACCTCAAGAGAAAAACGTCTATCAGATCTGTCACTATCGTTCCTGAAGGCAAAAACTTCAAAAAATCTGAAGATATTATATTTAATAAATCAGTTTTTTGAAAAAAAGATAATGAGAGTAAATATATGTTTGGAATCCTTTGTTTCAGAAAATGTACACATGAATGAGGATAAATTAATAATTCCTTAAATTTTTTAAATATTATTACTCTTTTTAAGGGGGCTTCCAAACAAGATTCGATACGGGGCCCCACCAAGGCACGCTGCGCCCCTGTTTATATAATAATATTTTGCTGCTATTCATACGCCTGGAATTAATAGTTTTGATTTGGCTTATTTTTATTGATTTAATACTAAAGTCATAATATTGTAAAAGTTAAAAATATTATATCATTTTAGGCTACATAGTTTTCTGCTGTTGACGATATCATAATTAGTAACCTCTTTTTATTTTTTAGGATGTATTTGTATGTGACCTTATGAATAAATTACCTCAATGTTGGAGGTCAAGCCTTCGTGATATTGATATTGTAGAATTAGGTGCATTTTTAGCTGGAGAACAAACAAACAGAATGTTTGCATTATCAACATTGGCATTGCGTGCATGTCTTAAGTATATAAATTTATCTCGAGTACCTGAGCATGCGCTAATCCAGAATATTCCTTTGCAACCAAATGAATCAGAATATTCATACTTGACACATCCTAAATTAAAAAATTTATTTTGTAAACATGTGAAGCAAAAGAAAAGACATGAAATAATGAAAATGGCTGAAGAGTGTTTCAAAACTTGTATTGAATTGAAATGTGAATATCTTATAGATTTTGGGTCAGGAGTGGGTCATTTAGCTCGTGTTTTAGCCTATGGTTACAATATTAATGTATTGTGTTTAGAAGCTCAAAGTGAATTAATCAATCAAGCAAAGTATGTAAATTGAATAATGACTATATTATATCATTTAAAATGTATTTTAATGAGAAGTGTGTTTTAGAAAATTAGATAAAGAAATGGAAATTACAGCATCAAAACATTTGAGTAAGTCTTTTATGGATTCTAGAAATGGATCTCCACGATATTTAAATATGACATTAGATAATAATATTGACACTGAAGAATTTTTAAAAGTATGTGGAAAATGTGTGATGAACTCTTTCTTTCAGTTATGTTAAGGAAGTTTTTTTTTTGTTTCAGAACATAAAATTGCTTTTCAATTTAAATAAAAATACTGTAAAATTTGGAATCATTGGCTTGCATCCATGTGGGGATTTGATACCAATAATGCTTCAATTGTTCGCTTTATTGCCAGAAATAAAATTTGTTAAGGCTGTTGGTTGCTGTTATATGAAATTATCAACATTTGATAGAAAGTAAGTTTATATTTTTATAAATGTTATCATTTCATTAAGGGGAGAATGCTGAGTTTTTTTCTTATAGATTTTATCTAATCGTATAAAAAACTATTTAAAAAAGAAGAACAAATATATTGGTTTTCATTATGATCCAATATTTAATTATTATTTTTCAAGATCACCTGAAAAAGCTCATGGTTATCCATTAAGTGCCTTTTTAAAGTCTATACCACACGAGTTAAGTTATTCAGCGAGAGAAGTTGCTTGTCATGCTATAGAAACCTATTGCCAAAGGTTGAAGAAAGGTTTATACAGTGATTTGCAGGTAACTAAACTATGAGCATTTATGTACAAAATATATTTCTAAGAGATCTTGATGGTTTTACATCATTTCTATAATAATAACAGAAGAGGTTTTAAATGTTTATTTTATTATTGGTTTTCTATTTTAAAGGTTCACTCATATAGAGCTGCACTAGAGGAACTTGTCATAAAATACTGGCCTCACCTTAAGCATTCTGGAATGAGAAGTATTAAACATAGTAATCAGCTTTCATTTAAAACGTTGGTGAATTATTGAACACCGTTTTTTATTTACCTAGTTAACTATTATATGTTGAGAAAAACTTATATTGAATTATAAATTTAAAGATATAATTTACCCCTAAAATTAAGGTAACCATATTTTATTAAGTCAAAACCGGGACGGAAATTTTTAGTGAGACGGTGGGGTGGGGCATGCTAAATAACTTGAATATAATTTTAAAATAATAAATATACTATATAAGGATATAATAAAAAAGGTTCTTTTTCTAATGAGTAAATTTGTTTTTAAATCAGAATTCTGGTCTTTTTTTTACCTAAACATTTATATCTTATGTTTTTTAATCCATATGTTTGTTTTGCTTCTGGGCCTTGTATAAAATTCTGTTCAGTCTCTTTATAATGAACTTGAAAAAATTAACGCTGGTGCCAGGTAGTCAAAAAGTTGTTTTTCATAAATTTTTCTAATTTTCGTGAACTTGAAAATAAAAGTTAGAATTTATTAATGTGAGTGTCTGTTTTATCCCGCCTTTGAAAATTTGTATTTGGCAATTTTGTCATTCATATCATGTTGTTTTGTAGATATTTGTTGGGTAGTCATAATTTTGTTATCAAGTAATTGCATAGATTCAATATAAGCCTGTACTTCTCCAAAACCCAGAACAATTATTGCTTTTAGAAAAACCCGGGATACAAGTTGAAAATCTGGGACTGTCTCAGCCAAACCGGCACATATGGTCACCTTACTAAAATGCTGTCGTAAACTGTAGTTAATTCAATTCTTTTTTATAGATAATTTATTATAGTACCTGATTATTAATATTATATTAGCTTATATCTTAAACACGATTTCTTGTATAAATATTCAGTATCTTGTAATAACATTTTTTCAAATGTTTTTATTATAGCTAAGAAAATGTTTGTCATTATGTTGAATTATTTTTATTTATTATACAGGTACTGTGAAGTGGCCACTTCAAGATTAGGAATAGCAATACCAGACGAAGATATCAATTCTGAAAGTACTTTAAAAAATCTGTCAGAATGGAAGGATGTTGTAAGATTCTACTCTTTGAGACTCCTTTTGGCGCCACTAGTGGAGACTATTATATTGTTAGATAGACTGATTTTTCTTGAGGAACTGGGTAAATATAATTATAATATTTTTATATAGGATTACTAAAATACTTATTATGTACATATTTATATATTTCAGGTACAATTTCTGATATAATACCAGTATTTGACCCAATTTTATCACCGAGAAATCAAATCTTAACTGCCATTAAACCATAAAAGTAAGTTAGATACTTTTAATAACTTAATTTGATATAATAAAATTATATCTGACTTTGAATCTAAAATATTTTGAGGTCAATTTTAGTGTCTACATGTATACAAGGATAAATTTATGTATTTATTTATTCAATTAATATAAATTATTAATTAAGTAATTATCATTACATATTTATCTGTATTGTAGTGTACATGGTTATTTGTTTTTTCTTTTACAATGTGATAAATAACACCATGTAAATTTGAAACTTAAACCTCAAAATAAATGACTAATGAAATTTTATTCTGGAATTATGTTGTAATAGCATAGTGCCTTAATATTTCTTCATATTTATTTATATATATATATATATATATATATATATATATATATATATATATATATATAAAGTAAATGATTAGCATTGTAATGAATACTGTATATTTTTCACATGATGTAAATAATATTTATGGAACTATATCTAAAATTAATTCAAATGTTCTGTCTTTATAAATCGTATAGTACATTTTATATCAAACCAGTTTTTAATATGAAATACAATTATTATTTTGAATCCAAAACACTGAATGCGAGTTATTGACATCAAAGTTTTAATTATTCCATTTAAGGTGTTATGTACTTAATTTAATTCATAATAATTATTTTCTTATGTGTCTCATAAATATTTGAAGGTGATTAAAACAAATTTATATTTTGATCCTATGTTATTTTTATAATAAAATCTTTGATACATACTTTACAACATATTATGAACAATTATACAAAAATTTATTTTGCAATGCGATGTCATAATAATAATCTAATATATTAATAAATTTAAAAGGAAGTACTCAATTATGAAGACTTCATTTAATTTAAGCTCGTTGGTTACTTCTTTATGTACACTGAAAAATCTTACAAGATTTATTTACATATGTTGAATTGTTATATAATTATTTTTTTGGCTGGATCCTAAGACATATATTTTGTCTTTATGATAAATATTTTTCAGCAACGCACAGAAATATTCCAAGTTTATAAAAATATATTTAATATATAGACATATTGATTCAGAGCAATGTTTTTAAAGAAAGGACAAATCAATATCTAATTTTGTGAATTTACATAACATGACTTAATTTCACATATTGTTGAATACAAATTTGTTTAAATTTTTTCATAGCATATTATGTAATATATATGTACATCCATAATGACAGTTAAATTATAAATTGATGAAGATAATAATTTAATTTTTTTTTTTACAAAAACTATAGATTCAGAAAGTGTAAACTTTAGAGACGAATAATTTAAATCGTTATATTTGATTGTGAATGAAATTAACCAGTTTAATTTTTAAGATATTTGACCATTATAAATTTTGGATCAACATATTTTAATTTAGAAGTCGTATGAAATTTTTTCCATTAGTATAGTCTACGGCTCTATTTCACGAACAACTCTTACAGTTTATTCATGTATTGAATTGAATTGAGATTTCTTCAGTATTGATATTATAAGTAACACAATGTCCTACTCAATACATAAACAACTTTGTTTGGTCTTTCAGTTTCTTATACAGACATTTCCCAGGCATAGTAAAAAATGGAAGCAAAATGTTCATTGATTGTAATCTCCTTGATCTGGAACATAAATCTAAACTACTGAAAAATTGTGACAAGATTAATTCAGCAAGTCAAAACTAGCTGTTGGCATGATATAAATAAATCAATAAAAATTCATTAATTACTTATTGTTATTGAAAGTAAAATCTTAAAGATACTCTTGTTCAGTAGTTTAGGCACATAATTGAAAAGAATTGGTAAGAGTTTTTATTTGGCTTTATAAAATGTAAAATATGTATTAAGCAATTAAGCAAATTGGGGGGCAGCTAGCATGCTAGTAGCTGAATTTGCTTCGTCATCACTTTCCTCCGTGTTCACTTTTTCGAATCCGTTGCGCGATCGTGAACGCCTTTCGATCAGATGGCTGAACTTGACTGCGGCACTCGAATTGGTGGGCAAATCCCACACGCGTCGTCGGTTGCGACGACCTGCTCAAATAAATTTTTCAAATGTATATTTGAAATTGAATAATTATATTGAAAGCATGAAATACTTTCTATATAATATATACGTCTTGATTGACAAAAATAAATTATAACAAAAAAATGAAATACTTTTAAAGTTTTTGGCTTATTGTCGGCTAATTGTCAGTTCTCCTTGCTACCTATACTTCCTGTAGGGCAAGTTATAGTAATCGTAAAAAAATCGAAAATGAAAATTTTTGTATATCTTTACGTTTCAGAGGTTTCTGCACATTTTGGCATACCTTAGAAAAAAATGATGTATGTGTGTGCGGATACAAATTTTCGTCGACGATTTCGGGAACACGGTTCAACCGATTTAAATTATTCAAAAAACATTCGATTCCTATTAATAAGGAGACGTGCTGATTAGTTTTTGGCATAGGCAGGTCTAGCTGTTTCGAAGATACGGGGCAAAAAGTGCCAAAAACGGTAACTCAGTTTTTAAGAGAACGGAGCGTCCGATTTTAATAATTCAAAAAAACATTTTACTTGTATTGACTAGATTAAATTTTTGGGAAGGCAGGTCTAGCAGTTTCGGAATTCTAGTAAAAAATGTAAAAAAATGCCATTTTGAGGTAAAAAATGATCAGTAAATCGAACATAACTATTCTACAAAGGTTCCAAAGTAAAATTTGAAAGAAATCGTGAACGCTGCAAAATACGTTCCCAATTGGTTGATACATCAAGATCTCAGAATTCGAACTATAGAAGAAGAAATTAGTCTTTACTGCACCAGATACAAAACTCGTCTAAGTCGTCATCTAAACGTATTAGCGTTAGATCTGCTCAAGCCTTTACCACCCAAGCGTCTCAAAAAAGAATCTGCAATGATTTACTACAAAATATAACATAACATCTATGAAGGCGCTATCGCAGGATAGCGATCCTTATCACGCAGTAAAATAATATATAACTCTAACAAATGTAGCTGAATGTACTTTGTATAGCTTGCTATGAAAAATAATTAAAAAAAAAGATCATTAGACATATGCACATCAAATTATCAGATATTTTATGGAGATTTTAATAATGTGTATCAATTTTGTTTACATTTCTATGGGATTCGTAACATCGTTTGTCCGTTAGACGGCGACGCGACGCTTACGCGCTTTGATATTACCTCTCTATACAGCTAAAGCAGTGCGATTGCTTTGAAAAAAAAATTCAAAATATTGTAAACAAAAAAAAACATTTTTTTTCAAAAGTTTTTTTCCCAAAAAAGTTTTTTTTTTTCAAAAATCTAATTTTTTCAAATTTAAAATATATTTAATCTTTTTTTAAAAATTCAATTTTTGGTACGGTAAGTTCCTGCAATATGCCTTAAGGCACAATGCCATACACCACTATTTTGTCTCTTTTCTCGAAACACTAATTTCATAATCTACTATGTATGAGAGAAAAAGAAATGTTCAGAATCTATTGAATTAATTTATAGTCTTTGTAACAAACTTAAGTAACAAATTAAGTTAATTAATTAACTAATATTTCACGATCGGACACGCTCTTAGCGCTCCGTCTGATAAACTGGCGAAGAGCAATGCCGCATTTGTGTCCTTTGATTCGATTTAGAAATCGAATGACTCGTATGAGTCGTATTAGGTCGAATGATTTGGTTAAATTGTATAAGTTGGATTCGGTTAATTTTTACTTGCATCAGATTTTTTGTTTTAATTTTGTATTTAATTTTTATTTTCAAATAAAAAAAGAGATAATTAAAAAATGTTAATTTACACATTATGTCCCGTCAGACAAATTGTCTGGTGTAAGAGATCAAAGTAAATATTTTTCGACTTGATACAAATCAATTCGAAACGAGTAAAATTGTTTCAAAACAGATTGAAATCAGGTTGTTAAGGGCTTGATTCGAATTGGCACATCACTAATATTCATTTGCAATATTCTTATAGACTTTTAAGTAAGTCTCAACTCAATATAAATAAGACCAAAACAAAATAAAAACAAATATAATAAATAAAATAATATATTTCATGTATCACAACTTACAAATAAAAAATAATATATATAAAATAAATAAAAAAATCAAACAAATAAGTTTAAACAAAACATTACAATAAAAATCAATATAAAAATTACACATTATTTTAAATTCTGTTAAGTAATAGTCGTAATAAGTACCACTGGTTTTTTAAAATAACATACATAATAACAAATATTAATGCTAATAATAAATGTAGCAATAAAAAACTAGATTCAGGTGATGTAAACATAAATTGTATCTGCATAGAATTGCATAAGTCATTGGAATTAAATAAATACTTAATTCTAATCACAGCACTATTTTGAAGTTAATGGAATTGTATTATTAAAGTTTTTAAGTTCATAATGAAAATTATTTTATTCTACTTTCACTCGTCATCAACTGTAGTCATGAGCTTAGAATATTCAGCAACATTATCAATATTATGCCTACCTCGTTTTAAGTGTCGGGATATCAATGCCGCAATGCCAAGCAGAATAGCTGTTAAAATGATTAGTACTGTAACAATTATCAAAAATGTTGCTGTTGGACCTTTGTTTATAGCTGTATCAGAGAAGCTAATTGCAGAGATAACTGATGATTGTTTATCTACAAAGAATTATTAGGCAATTCAGTTTTTTATTTAAACAAAGTAAATTTCTATATATAAGTGCAATACTAACCAACAGTTGCAGTCGGTTTTGCAGATTCTATTGTCTGCAGTTGGAAGTTAGTTGGAACAGAAGCATTAGGCAAAGTATTATCTTCAAACTTATGAATGACGTAAGGATCAATTTCTACTACATAAGCCTGTTTTCCATCACTATAAATAGACATAAAAAAGCTGTACAAATGACTCTACTAAAAATTATAGCTTGGTTGTAATATATAGAAATCAAAATAGAGAAGATGTCATTTTGTTTTAGCAAATGTTATTTCTATTTTAACTTTGAATGGTAATTATCATCATAACATTTATTCAAAACTAATCAATATAGATTAATCTAATAAAAAAATAACTCTTACAAATAATGGAAATATGATAAATATAAACCTGTTATTTATTACCTTGAAACCGCTATATCGTGTGGATTTTGAAAGTCCTTACTACCAGCACGGAATTGCGATACAATTTTGCCAGATGTCATGTTTATCACAAATCCTCGAACAGAATTATAGTATGGCATCCAATTTGGCCCATTAACAACATACAATTGGCCTCCTGAATAATTTATTTGGTTACTCCTAATAAAATAAGATGGAATATTTTATTTACCATTAACAGAGGAATATGCCACACTAAAAATTCTTTGTCCAATAATTGGATGTTGAAACTTCTCAATGTAGCTACCATTGATTGCATTAAAGCATTGAACGCGACCATTTTCACGATCAGCAACACAAAGCATATCTTTATCTTCAGCTAACGCTAAAGCATGTGGAATTCTAAAATTATAAGGTGGTGGCTTTCTATCATCTGAAATTTATTTAATGTATATGAGCTTGGAAAGAATAATTTTAGCACTACAAACATTGTATGGAAATATGTCATTTTGAGCAACAACAGTTTTAATTTGATAACAAAAATATTAATAATAGAATACAATAATTAATTATTTCTCATTTGTTTTTACCGTTTCTGGTAGATTTTCCCCAGCTAGTTAGATATTCCCCATTCATAGAGAATTTCATAATTCTCGAATTACAATATCCATCAGCCACAAAAAAGTCACCAGATCTCATCACTGCGACAGATGTAGGTTTACAAAATCTGTCCAGAGAATTTCCAGGAAGAAATTTTTTTCCCAAGGTGAGGGATGGTTTTGTAGAGGTAGAAGCATTGAATGAAAATTTCATTACTTGATGTAAGGCGACATCAGTTATCCAAATGTTGTTGAAGTAGTCTACTGTTAAACCATGTGGCATATAAAACCTGTAATTAAACATAAAAAACACATTTACCAAAATATATATCGTCTGCATTATAATATAATCCTGATTTGACTATAATTCTTTTATAATCTGATTTGGTTATAAATCACATTTTTTTTCAGTCATAATAATTATACATTGATGCACTATCAGCTTTTATAATATAAATACACCTAAGTCTGTTTTACACGGAGATTGGTTCCAGAAGAAATCGTGTAAAAAAAAAACGTGTAAAAAAAGACATTGATCTTATACAAAAATGGGTGATTTGTCCTACTCTCTAAAACCTATTAAAATTAGTGAAAAACAAGAATTTTCAAGAACAAGAATTCATGTTCATTTTAATAATAATTCCCCTAAATTAGTGCTATTCACATTTGCTTTGACCAGTAAAAATTGTACGCACCATAGGAGAATTTACTTAAATCTTTAAGCTAGTGTTCGCAAACTATCGACACTATCGATGGTTTCAAACTTTTTTCTTTCATAAATACTTTTTGTGATATGAACATTATTCGCAAAAATTAAATTTGACAAAAAAATTTAAGTACATAAAATTTCAAATCGTGCTAAATGGAATAAAGTCGTGCAAAAAAATTAAAAATATTCAATTTTCAACCGGGTTATATCAAAACCGTGTACAAAAAGACTGTGTAAAAACAGACTTAGGTGTACTTGTAATTGTTTGTGATAGATGAAAACTTATATTCAGTATAATATGTCGATTTCAATTAAACATATTAATTATCATTATTACATATGAGATCCCCATTCATAGGAAACATCCCCGGTCGTTGAATTGAGAACAAGAATTGTGTTTTCAGGTATAGGTCCTAAATTCTGCTGTAGAAATATTTCATCTTTATTAAATGATTCTGCATCCCATTTTCGACTTCCTCTATGAAATAAGACCACATTTCCAAACGAATCCAAACTAACTGCTGATACTTGTCCTAATGAATCTGAAATCTTCGGCCATGAAGGAACATATGTGGGTGCTGCATGGATAGAAATGAAGGATTAATATTGATAAATATGATTATAATATTATACCACAAACCTCTTACAAAAATTAAGACTAGATAAAGTATTTTCTACATCAACAAGCTGTTGAACTGGCGCGTCATACATATGCGGGGAAGCTTGCCATCCTGGGTATACTTTCTTCTTCTGAATAATCTCCTCCAGAAAAACTGTCACAAGACGCAACACGTAACTAGAAGGAAAACATTATGAGTAAAATAAAGTCGTAATCTTGTGGTTAGGTGGAAACATAAATACTTACTACGTAAAAAACTGTTGTAAGCCATGTATATAAAATGTGCGTGAATTTTCTATCGAAAAAATTCATGGTAATCTCTAACCTATATTATATGTTATATACTTATAAATTAGAACTTTTTTTACGATAACATGAGTGTTTAGCTACTTTTCTCAAACAATTGAAAAACCATGTTTACTCAAATGTTTCTATAAACCTAAAATCATTAAACAGATTTCTTCTTTCGTTCACGGCAACAACTACCTGTATGCTTTTGCCAATTGTCAAACTGCGTGTCATTACAAGTATCAAATGACAAATATGACAACTTGACCGACTGTCAATAATATTGTTACTGGAACCTAATAAGAATGCGTTTTTAATTGGACCAGTGCAGTTTGGAAAGACTCCTGATTTTTAAATCGTGATCGTGATTTTCTTCAATATTATTTTTATAATATAATGTGGTAGAAGTTATTAAAATATGTGATCAATAAACATGATTTTTGTTTTGTGAGAAATGCATTTCCTAGGAGTACGTCAAATTTATTATGTACAATAGGATTTTATAGTTTGCATACAGTGACATTATGGACAATTTACTCAATTGCAGGTTTGTAAGCATGACTTTGTAAAATATGTATCAAAATCTTCCCATAAGACCCAAGGTCGTTATAGGGCCAGTGTTGAAGGCTAGGTTTGTGATATCAGATTCATGTAGTACTAGTATTACACATTCCTAACAACATTTGAAATATGTTTTTGAAGTTTCTCATGAAGTAATTTGTAACAAACATATACAAGATGTTAATTGTAGCATTGGAGCGCGCAATTCTTAGTAGCTCGTGTACTATCACGTGACACACAACGTGCACACTCTTATGTGACAGATATCTGACAGATGATCTGCATCATCGTGTTTTGTAAATATATGATATTGTAATTATACTATTTATCACCATATCGTTAATTATTGCAAATATACAAGTTATATAATAGTTTCTATAAAATAAATTACTAATAAATACATATATCAATTACAATTAGAACGGTGCCGTTTTCAATTTTTTGAGCTACTGCAAGCAATAGTTTTAAGTGTTTTCGTGCGTTTATGATACGATTATATAGGGATTTATTATGTGATAACTTAATATCAATCTAATTGTTTAATGGTAAATATAAAAGACAAATATTGGCATATTAGCTCAGCTTGTAAATATATCATCATTGTCACTTTTAGCTACAGACTAACAAAACAGTAGTTTTTTAAGTGGCTTATGAGATTTTTATAATTTTACTAACATTTTTATGATTCATTCACATTAGACTATTTGGAAAACTCAATTAAGAAATTTAAATGAATCTGTTTTCTTGTGCATATATACAGGGTGTCCGAGAACTTAACGAACCGAGGTGTTAGCATTGACCTTAACTGCCCTGAAAAAAATTCAAAACTAGTGGGGCGCATGGCATCGTGCTTAGGGCGAATTGTTGGAACTTTCCGTACCAAAAATTATTATTTTTTAAAAACGATCAACATTTTTAAAAAAATTTACTTAAAAAAAAAAAAATTTGAGAAACAAAAAATTACTTCTTTTGAAAAAATTTTTTTTGAAAAAAAATGTGTTTTTTTATTTTAACATATTTTGAAAATTCTGAACTTTTTTTCAAAGCCATCGTACTGCTTTAACTGCATAGAGACGAAATGTCAAAGCGCGTAAGCGCCGCGGCAGCGTCTAACGGATGAGCATTGGTACGGAACTCATAGGAATGTAAACAAAATTATACTTACTACTAAAATCTCTATAAAATATCTGCTAATTTGATGTGCATATGTCTAATGATCATTTTTGACCGCCAAATGGCATTTTTTTACTTTTCTCATTAGATTTCCGAAACCGCTAGATCTGCCTTCATGAAAATTTGATCAATTCTTCATCTCACAAGTAAAATCTTTTTTGAATTATTAAAATCGGACGCTCCGTTCTCTTAAAAACTGAGTTTTTGGCACCTTTTGCCCCGTATCTTTGGAACGGCTAGACCTGCCTCCGCCAAAAACTAATCAGCACGTCTCCTTATCAATACGATCGAATGTTTTTTGAGTTATTCAAATTGGTTGATCGGTGTTCCCGAAATCGTCGACGAAAATTTGTATCCGCAACACACATACACCACCCACACATACACACATGCATCCATGTTTCTAAGGTATGCCAAAATATTCAGAAACCTTTGAACGTAAAGATATATAAAAATTTAGATTTTCGATTTTTTGCGATTACTATAACTTGCCCTACGGGAGTTACAAAATTATTTCACGTTTTTTGCAAATTATGAGCTTTTAAGTGCAGCTTAGAGCTTGGTGAAATTATGGTCATTATGACCAAATATTTCGACCACGTTTTAGCCCAAAATTCAGAATCGATTTTAAAAATTCAAAGGCCATTTGAAAGATATTGGTTGGAATGTACTGATCTGTTTTTGTTGAAGATAGGCTGGACTATTTTTTCTGTAATTAACTGTTAAAACAATTTTTTCGACGATTTTCAT